TTTTTCAGGACCCTGAGATAGAGAGTCGAATGCTCTACTGACTGAGCCAGCCAGGTGCCCCTAGAATGAATGAGTTTTAATGTCACAGGTACACTGGTCAAGACTAGAATTGGTTTCCTCTCACTGTTAAAACAACAAAGTTTTCTTAGATTTTGGTCCACTCTTAATAAGAAATTATAAACAAAGATTTTTGTCTTTACCGTACTCCAGGTAAGAAAACCGAAGTTTCGAGATGTTTTGTCTTTATCAGGTCTTTGATTACTTAAGGAAACTGAATCTCCCCATAATTAAAGAGCTAAGTTTTGCTAACAACTATGTAACCTTCTATATTTGCCTTTAGAATCTTTTATTGTCACCTTGGATAATAAATAAAAGAGTATTAAGTTTTGTAATTATCTGTGATCCTATTTAGACATGTGCTTTAAAAACTTCTGATATTTTTAACAAACTTCCCCCAACTCAAATTCTAAATGAAGTCTTTTTGAATAAATTGTCAAATTACCAAAGCACTGTCAGGTAAGTGATGATAAACCTTCTTAGGTTATATTGTATGGGTGAATTGCTATTAATATAACTGCTCTAGAAATAATAGGAAATTCCTAAAGTTTTAATATGTTCTGGTACAGTGTTATCACTTGTAATTAAAATTATTGAAGTGTTGTGTGTCACAGAAATAACCACATTTCTTTGTCAGTTGCACTGTAATGAACTCTCATGGGATCTTGAACCATGGCCATTTTGAGTCTTTTGTCATTTACAGTTCTTGTTTTATACTTGATGCTCTTGCAATTGTGTTTCAGCTTCAAGGAGATTCATGGAAAGGACTTTTGACAAATACAGGTTTCTGATAACCTTAAGATCAGAAAACTGACCGGATAAGAATGTCTGTAACTAGTGAGAAACCTGGATTCCAACAAGAATTAGTAACATGGGCCTGAATAAACTGAGGAAGATGATCACAGTTTTTATGACTCTTGTTTGAAATGTTGCTGGTTTTCTAATGTTTGCTCTTCCAGATTTAAGGAAACTTTCTCTCTTAAGCTATCTATGACTTACAGGAATTTGATAAAATATTCCTTTGTGAATAAATATGAAACATTTGTCTTTTTTTCCCTACCTGACCCCTCCAGAGTTTAGAAACTCTTGGTGAATAGTCCTATTTTCATGGCAATTGTAGTTATTTGCAAAATTTATTAAGAATCTGCTCTCCTTGTAACAGAACGCCATTGCAAAGGTTGGTTATATTACCAAGGCTTGGATTGGAATGTTATATTTGAGAGAGAAGTGCATAGACTAGATATGACCAAATAGCTTTAGGGAACTAAGGTTGACTTCATGGAGCCAATGAAGCCCCTTGGAACAGTAAGCCTGATACCTTGCTTACAGGGTTCCCAGCAGCCTTACCAGATGAGTAAGGAAGGTCACTTCCTGGCACGGGCAGGAACCTCGGGATATTTGGGGAACCTCAAGAAGGGAGGATTCACCCAAATCCGTAACTATTAATTACACAAAATTCTGATGGTAAGTATTTGGGTTGGCTTCTTAGCCTGAGGAAGCTGTTGAAAATTCAATCTAAAATTCCTTATGAAAAGTTTCAGCAAAGCAGATTTAAAAGAAGCTATAGAATCAATCACTCTTCTTACTACACTTTTTAAAATAATCAGGCCAAGGTGTTGAAATTGGACTTATTTCACAAACAAATTAGTATTCATTTGGCTATCTTTGGTAGAAATGAGGGTGATTTTAGAGTTAAAAAACAAAACCCAATTGAATAAATCTAAAGATCTAATTGGTTTTATTAAATGATTCGTGAATCAAGCAGCATCCCATCTAGCAAATAGAGGGAAGCTTTGAGAAATTGTACAAAATGGAAGGTGTTTATAGGAAAGAGGGTGGGGCCTGAAAGTTATTAGTAAAAGAAAAGGATTGTTCTAGGCAAGGTCACTTTCCCTTCGGGGAAGAAGCAGGGGGTCTTATCATGCAGATTACTTCATCTTCCTTTGGGGGATGGAGAGGCCCTATGTGACAGACTCTGGCGCTGATGAGGAAAATTCCTGACTGACCAGTTAAGATTACATTTCTGGATTTGCAACGAGGCGGACAGAACTAGAGGCTATTTTGCTAAGCGAAGTAAGTCGGTCAGAGAAAGACAATTATATGATCTCACTCATATGTGGAATTTAAGAAACAAAACAGGATCATATGGAAAGAGGAAAAAACAAAACAAGACGAAATCAGAGAGGGAGACAAATGGTAAGAGACTCTTAATCATAGGAAACAAACTGAGGGTTGCTGGAGGGAAGGGGGGTAGGGGCATGGGGATAACTGGGTGATGGAAATTAAGGAGGGCAGGTGATATAATGAGCACTGGGTATTATATAAGATGGATGAATCACTGACCCCTACCTCTGAAACGAATAATATATTATATATTAATTAATTGAATTTAAATTTAAAATATTACATTTCTGGGGGAGATTGAAACTGAAATTAAATTAGGTACTAAGTTCAAGTTTGGGAACTCGGCCTAAATAACACCATTTTGGGCCTGTGGTTTTCTTTTTTTAAAAAGAGAAAAAAAATTATATTTCATAACACACAGTGTGGATGTTAGATTCTAGTTCTGATTGAGAGTTGTTTCCCTGTAAAACTGGGCTGGATCCTAAATTCTGGTATCCTCAAATATCTGGCTGTGACTCTCCAACTAAGGTTTCTAATTTTCTTTCCTTCTTTTGACTTGGAGTCACTCAGAACTAAAATTGCTGTTTTGGGGATGCCTGGTGGCTCAGTCGCTTAAGCGTCTGCCTTCAGCTCAGGTCATGATCTCTGGGTCCTGGGATCCAGCCCTGCATCGGGCTCCCTGCTCGGTGGGGAGTCTGCTTCTCCCTCTGCCCCTCCCCACCATGTGCTTTCTCTGTCTCTGTCAAATAAATAAATAAAATCTTTTTTTAAAAATTGCCGTTTTTCCTGAAGCCCTGCACACTGAAGCTAGACAACTTAAACTTCAGAGAAATCGCCACAACAGCCCATGTCTAGACAATCTTCATGCCTTTTGCTGTATGGGCCACTCAGAAAGATCATCAGAGATATTCAGACTGCAAACCAGGAAAATTTATCGGATTACCACTGCCTGCTCGCACTCCCTCTGAAGATGCTATGAGCCTGACATCTAGAAATCTCAGTGGCCGCACTCAGGACCACACTGGGTTTATAATTTGCTCCAACCAATAACATTTGTTGACTTTGTTTTTCTTTTGTTTCCGTAGAGATGCCTCTTTTTAATTACCTGATTGCTTGCACAATATGGGCCTAACTTTAGGAACCCTGTTGCAAGACCATCTCCTGAAATGAGACACAACTGTTTAACTGAATTGACCTATTTTCAAAAGACTAGTTCCTGAGATATGGAGCAGACCTCTTAAGATCCAGAAAGAACATTAAAACTCCGGTTAGCAGGGAATAATATTGATCTCTGATATTTAAAAAAAAAATTGATCAAAAGGGGGGACTGTATAAAATTTCTGGACATAAATTCTCATTTTGAAGCTCCATTTTTCTTCCCAACTCATGAACTCTTGAGCTAGGCCAGGAGCAGCAATTGTTTTAGAAACAGTTGGTCATAAAGTTTAAACAGAGCAACTGGCATTCAGATCCTACGCGGCCAATCAAGTGAATTAATACATACCAGAGACAGGTTTGTTTGATGGCACCAATAAAATATTAAAATAGTAATCAGAAGTGGCTCCACTGGTTAGCACCAAAGTAGCAGTTTTTTTCACTTTATCTAAATAATCACCCCTTCCTTCTTGCTCATAAAAACCCCTTGCTTTCCCTACATGACCAATACCCTTTTCTGATTTCTCCAGAATCTGTGCACCTGAATTGCAATTCTGAGACCCCAAATAAAGGCCTTTGTTCTTTTTTAGTTTTGCCTCCTTTACTCAGTTGATAAAATGATATGCAATACAATAAGACGATGCAGAATGCATAGCATGCAAAGAGAAATTGTTTTGGAAATACTTTTCAATAATGTAAATATGCATAAAATATATTTATGTATAAATATATAGTAAATATAAATGTATGCGCGCGCGCACACACACACCCACACCTGGAGTTGTCAACTATTTCTCACAGTGGGTCTTGATTCAAAGTTTGAAAAGCCCCTGAAACATAGGACTCAAAAGGATCCTGGCAAGGTAAATTCAAGGTCAAATGAGAGAGCCCCTTTCCTCTCCCTTTGCAATGTAGAGCAGTTAATGGAGGGAGAGGAAATTGCGTGGAAGGGAGGGGACACCCGAGTGAGGTCAAGCGAGGAGGAAGGGTGCATCAGGACAGGGAGGTGCCGGATGCCTAATTGTCAACTGAACCCGGGAAGCTTGATTCTGCACTCTTCCCTTAAATGCTAAACCGAAAGAACTTCCGCGTTCCTCGTCCCTGAAAAGCATACAAAGATGGGGATTCGCCGTGCTCCCAGAGGTCACACTACATTGGGCCAGTTCCCGCACAGGGAATTATCCAGGGCAAGGAGAGGGGAGGTGGGCGGGGCGTGGGAAGCGCGGGAAGGCCTGACCAGGTCAGTCTTAAGAGCGATTCACAGCCTACCAGAGGAACCAGCAGTTCTGGACTCTGGGACCCATTCGCGGGAAGGAGCCCCAGGGCGCGGGTTGGGAGTTGTGCCCTTTCCACCGGCCAGCAGCGCTCCCAGCCAAAGGATAGCACCCGCCTCCGGCCCCGCAGCTGGATGGCTCCGCCGCCGGGTCGCAGGAGCCCACGTGACCTGCTGCGCGGGCCACCGCCTCCGCCGCGCCCAGGCCCCGCCCCCGTGACGTCTCACCGCCCTCTGATTGTCGGAACGTTCCGCCTCTTTCCGCGTTCGCTAATTGGCTGGCCCGGCAGGCAGCGCCCCCCCCCGCCACGCCCCCGGAGTCGTGGGGAACGCGTTTGGGGGCGGGGCCTGGGTCGGAGGGGCGGGGTGAGAAGGTTCCGCGCGGGTAAAGGGGCTGCCTGGAGCGCGGTCCGAGCGTTCTGCCCTCGCACGCTGTCTCGCCTTACCGGCTCGCCGCCTGCCCCTCCCCCGCCCGCCGCCGTCACCCGGGAAACGGGCCGCGATAGCCCGCTGACCCGAAGCTGGTTTCATGGCAGCCGCGAAGAAAGCAGTTTTGGGGCCATTGGTGGGGGCAGTGGACCAGGGCACCAGCTCAACGCGCTTTTTGGTGAGCCCAGGGTGACATTTGAGGAGGCGCTGAGCCGAGGCGGGAGCCCAGGGACCTCGGGGCTGGCTGTCGAGTCCCCATCCTGAGCCTTCTCCGACCCCGGGCCCCCGGTAGCTAGGCAAAGGGTGGAGGCCAAGGCCCCCAGAGCGGGACCTGCCACGCTGGAGCTGCCCTGCGTGGGCCTGGGGGACCTCGGCCTCTCGCGACCCCCGCGGCCGAGTTGAGCAGCCCCGGCCTTGGTGGTGGAGCCGGGTCACCTACTAATAGGGGACTCCACCCCCAAAGGGAGCTGGGACTCGCCGAGCATCCGTGCAGAGCGGCCCGCCTGCAGCCAGGGACAGGTGGCCACATTGACCGCTACTGCGGGCTTCCCCAGGAGCGTTTGGCCTGCGGGGCGCAGGACGTCCTTGGATGGGGCGAAAGCTGTGTCACGGCTTTGGTAGCCTAACACAGCGTCCTTTGGAGCAGTAAAACGAATATAGTATTGGCGTGATGATGCGTTGTCATCCTCTCCCACAGAAATTGCAGAAGGTGGAATGCCGGCGTGGTGGGGTGGGGGGGTGGGGGGGCGCTGAACACATTAGGAAAAAGTCACACTACACTGCTTTTACCAGCATCTTTACTTAATTTCGGAGACTCGAAAATTTCAGTTCTGGATACTTTGCGGGTTACAAACAGATGGTTTTCTCCGTGCTTCACAGCATAAAGTGACGGGAAAATTCTGTTTCTCTTTTTATTTACCATGGATGACAGCAGTTTTATCACAACGGAGTGCTATTTAAGGGACTCTGCTTATTAATATGTTTTGTGCAATTAGGAAACTTGCTCTTAAACTGATACACACCGAATTTAGTAAGATAATTTAAAAGTAATTTAAATAAATGGTTAAGAACTCAAGCTTTCAGTGGACATTTGACTCATTTGACAGGTTGATGTAATTATTGAATGATTATTTAGCTCTGTCTTCACTCCAAATCATTTTTTCGTGCACTATTTATATATGTACATATATGTATACATCATATATAAAGTTTATACGTTTTTTTCCAAGTCCTGTTGAGCTGACCACTTGACTAAAACCTGCATTTGTGCCTTCATTTTGCTACTTGTCTCTCTTGTCTAAAGTGAAAAGCTTTCAATCCAATTTTAGTTTGAATCTTCTTTAATGACTTACCCTGGTTTGAGCTGCCAAGCTGTAGTTCTACTGTCTCTTACATTGCTTATCTTTTGATCACCCAGGGCAGGTTTCACTTTGTCTTATTTTCATATAATTGTTTGTAAAGTAATCCTGAATCATAAGTAAGATAGTCTGTCTAACTGGATTTGATTAATATATAAAATACACAATCATCATTACCATCTTCCCAAATTAAGAAAGACCATTAAGACATGTGTGTTAACTGTGGGTTAACTTTTGAAATCCTATTCAAGAATTGCCCACACAAATGCCCACAGGGTCCAGCCAGGTAGAAGTTGGAGAGCAGACTCAGGCCAAGGGGACAGCCTACAGTTGCCAAGCAGGAACACCAGCCCAGTGTTGCCAGATCTTCCAATTCCTTAAGAAAAGCTGATAGTCTAGAGTTTTCAGTGAAATCCTTCTATTCTTAAATGTTGGCAACTAGTTCATAAAGCACGGTGGGGGCCAAATTCAACATGGCGATTGTTCTCAAGTTTATACGGCTTTTGCCCTCTGTGAATATGGGTAAAGTATTTCATAACTTTGTAGGCTTCCTTTTTAGGAGCCAGCCTTACTGTGCTTGTCTTCCTTTTGACTCTTCACTCTTCCTGTCCATGTAGCCCGCAATCTTCTTTATCTACTGCAGGTTGTTCCTCAGATTCTTCTGCCCAAGAGGCATCTTTCTGCATTGGTAGGGGAAGAATTCATCAACTTCATGTTATCACACTCATTTGTTCAGTGTGTGACATGAACAACACAAGCCCCCCGAAGTTGGGTTCTCTTTACTGGGCTCTGTATGGCATGATCTCATTGAGTAAGCTAAGGTGGCAAATTCAGAAGATCCCCATCCTGCTTATAGAATGATGCATAAAAGTTGATCAATTAAGTTTTCTGCTTTTTGAGAAACAACTATGAAAGCATGCCTCACAGGTACATAAAAGACTTAGAGATCATGTGTGAAGTCAAACAGAACTTAGGAACAGTTTAGCGAGGTGTTTTCTTCTTTGGTTATAAGGAAAGTGGTTGCTAAACCACTCCCTGCAAAATGCAGATAATAGATTTGCCGAATAAGTGCTTCAATCCCAAGGTGATTCCCAGGAATTGTTCCAGTCATTTTGTTCCGTGTTATAATTATGACTCAAAATTCATTGCTTACCTTCTCAGGAAAGAATACGGGAATATGAACTGTCATAAGGAACCTTATGAAGTTAAAGGTGTTTGAATAATTTCCTGACCATTATTCATTAAATTTGCATACCTCATTCGACTTTTACAAGACCCATAACCTCTGCAAGCTTTCTTCTTCCTTTTTCAGTACTAACAATGTTAGCTTTCTCCCGTGACGGACACAAGATTTCTTTATTCGTGCTCTTTCATCCGAGCGAATTGCCTCCTCCCCTGTTCCCCAGATCTACTGCTTGAAATTCCAAATAATGCCTCAACTGCCATCTCCTAGCAGGTCTTCCTCAAACCTTTGGAATTTCCACCTCTTCCTATACTACTTTTCTTACACCTCTAGTATCACTGCTCTGTATTATAATTACATACCTGTACTTTGGAGCAGGGACCTCTTTTGAAGTCTAGGTCTCTGTATTCCTTAAAACATCTTGGTCAACACCGCAAATGAATGCATGTTTTGTCTGAAGGTAGCTCTTGCTACATAGTTATCGAATAGATGTTTATTTCTCTTTAATAGGTTAACTGAATTTTGATTCCAGGTTGTTGTTTTTTTTTTAACCTTGCCAAAAAATCTTAAAACTTCCTGACTTGGGTATGTTTGATTATTTAATTTCTTCTATTTTAGTAGTAGACCTGCCATTTTAGAACATGCTCACTTCTAGTTGTCAAAGAGTCCCCCCTGCGACCCTATGCATAGGCTTTGTGCCAAAGGAAAAATTTCATATGTGTCTGATAGGAAAGTGAACTGGGGTTGGCACATGATTACTCAGATTACAGAATAGGAACTTCTTGGAAAAAGAATCAGTGTAACAGGTTTTAAGGAGGGGCCATTTCTTTAGAAGACCAAAGTTTCAGTTGAAACAGTCAACTTCCTTCTTTAATTTGGTAACTTTGTTTTTCCCCCATTAAGCTGGATGTTACAAAAAGCAAAGGCTTGGAATGTGTTGGATGCAGCAGTTGAGGATTTTTTCCAGCATTATCTCATTTAATCCTCCTAACAACGTGTTGTAGGTAGTATTATTAAGCTCCTTTCCCCAGGTGATTGGACTGTGCTGAAGATGGTGCCCAAGGTCACAGAGTAACCAGTGGAACTAGGATTCAAGGCCAGGTCTGTGACATTCGGAAGCCTGTCCTCCTAATTCCTGCCCTAGGCTTCCTGGCTGGGGAAGGCCACTTACCCACCTTTCAGGTGTCTGTTCTGATTACAATCACAGATGAATCTACACCAAGAAAAACATACGCAAACATTGGTTTCGCAATATGTAAAAAAAAAAAAAAATCGCCTTTGAATAAGTCTTGCTGGTTTTGATCATCTTGTGACTCAGATTCAATGGGTCCTGGGCAGGGCTCAGGTGTAGTCACCATGGATAATGGTTGCACAACCATTTTGTTCCAATAGCCAGCATCTCCAAAGCATGGCTCAAACTGTAGTTCTGTGCTTGCTTTGGCCGGAATCATTGTCTTGGCCCCAGTTGTTCCATCATACTTCGAGATCTCATAAGGCTTAGGGACGGATTTCCGCTTTCCTTCTTTTTTTTTAAGATTTTTATTTATTTATTCATGAGAGACAGAAAGAGAGAGAGAGGCAGAGGGAGAAGCAGGCTCCCAAGGAGCAGGGAGCCCGATGCGGGACTCGATCCCAGGACCCCGGGATCATGACCCAAGCCGAAGGCAGACGCCCAACCATCTGAGCCACCCAGGCGCCCCTCTGCTTTCCTTCTTTTATTCGACACATATTCATTAAGCACCCATGAGGGGCCGGGAACTAATGAACAGTAAATTTGGTAAAAACTAATCTGGCTCCTAGGTGGAATGAGGCCACTGTTGTGATCACTGCAGTTGCATTTCTTTTGTGTTTTCTTTTTTCCACTAGGTTGGCTTATTTTCTAGCCCATCACCTTATACAAATGGCAAGAACACTTATCTCATCACAGGCTGCCACCCCCCTATACTACTAGTTCTCTTGTCTCCCATAAACATTGCATGTTAAGAGCTTTCAATTTTGAGCTCCTTAGAGGGCAGGACAGTATCTGTTTTTTCCTCCCCAAAGCCTAACACAGCACCTCACATGTAGTGGGTGCTCATTACATGATGACAGCCGAGCCCTTCACATGTGTTGACTAGAACTCTAGGATTGGAAGACTTAGGAAGGGTAAAATTTGTGGAGTCTTGGAAAAAGTCTAATTTGGGAACTATAGCTGTGTTAGATATACTATATGCTATTTAATATGGTTTCATTTTTTAAGAAAAATATAATGTCATTTGCCATGTTTTTCTTACTTTTGTAGCTTGTTGGAAGATGCCAATATGCCTTTTGTGGTCAAGTTGTCAATGTAATATATTTGTAGCTAGTATTTTTATTTTAGGTCATTCAAATTTATGTAGTATCATAGAGTTCTAGAGAGGGAGTTTACATTCCTGAAAAATGTTTTATCACATAGTGAAGCTGAGTGTGGTGTAAAAGCGTAGGCTAGTGGGGAAATCACGTGAGGAGGGAAATGAATGTGCATGTTTATGATGGGCTGGCTGAATTAGTCATAGGATGAGTGAGCAAGGATAAGTGAATTCATTTTGGAACCCCAAGGGACAGTTTCTTAGTAAGGACAGCATGTCGTTTCTTTACTGGTCTCCTTCTAAGACAAGG